CGTCTCTCTGTTTTCAGTCTTTTCTACTTTCTTCTCTTCTTCCTCTTTCTCGCTCTGCTTCATTTCTCACCCTCTCTCCGCTTTCTCCCTCCCCGTTCCCTCTTCCCTCTATCTCTCCCTCACCCTCTCTCCATTTTTCCTTTCCCTTCCTCCTTCCCCGTTCTCCCCTTCCCTCTTTCTTTCTCCCTTCCCTTTCTCGGCTCCTCCTTCCGCCCCCCCCCTCTCTTATCCCCCTCATCTCTCATTAATTACCAACGTCTCTTCCGCCCCCCCAGCGTAGTGGAATATGTACATTTATTGTCATTATCTCTCTCTTTCCTTTTCATTTCCACTGTTTATTTACCCCGTCTTGATTGCCGGGTTTTCAGAGGCTTTGTCTTTTTTTTCTCTTCCTCCCTTTCGCTCTTAGTTTATTATTCTCATATTCTGTCTTTCCTCTTTTTTCATTCCGTCTTTTCTTTTCCCTCTTTCCTGTCGTTTCTTTCGCTTCTTCATCCATCCTTATTCCTCTCCTTCTCTCTCTCCTCTCATATTTACCGTCCCTCTTCGTCTTCATTTCCTTCCTTTAGCTTTTTCTCTTCCCATCCACTCTCTGTTTTCACCAGCCTTCCTTCTTTCTTTTATCTCCTTTCCTTTTTATCTGTCTATAATTTTATCACTCTGTTCATCTATCTCTAACCGTCCTTCTCGCCCTCTCTCCCTCACACCCTCCTTCTCACCCTCTCTCTCTCTCTCTCTCTCTCTCTCTCTCTCTCTCTCTCTCTCTCTCTCTCTCTCTCTCTCTCTTTCTGTGTGTGTGTGTGTGTGTGTGTGTGTGTGTGTATGTGTGTATGTGTGTGTGTGTGTGTGTGTGTGTGTGTGTGTGTGTGTATGTGCTGTGTGGTGCAGCGGTAGCGATCTCGTCTAGCAATCTTGCTGACCCGCGTTCGAATCCCTCGCTGCCAGTGGATGGTAACCCCGGCCATTCCTTGCACACAGGGGATAACTTAGAAGCAAAATAAACAGACACTATGGTACACCAAGAATATCCATTGTAACAAATGGAATCAACTTAGATTAATTAATTAAATTAACTAAACCTCTCTCTCTCTCTCTCTCTCTCTCTCTCTCTCTCCCTCTCTCTCTCTCTCTCTCTCTCTCTCTCTCTCTCTCTCTCTCTCTCTCTCTCTCTCTCTCTCTCTCTCTCTCTCTCTCTCTCTCTCTCCTTTTCACCCTCGCATTCTCTCCATTTACCTTCCTTCCCTCCTCTCCATATTTTTTTTATCTATACATCTATATCTATTTTTCTATATCCTTTCTATCTATCTTTTATCCCATCTATCCACCTATCTCTCGCCCTCCTTCTCACCCCACCTCTCTCTCTCCCCCCCCCAGGGCGCGCGTGGAGGCTGGCGGCGGCGCGTGGTGTCCTCGAGACATGATTCACAACGAGGGCAAGGAGTTCCTGGAGGTGAACCTGGGCGGCCTGCACGTGGTGGCCAAGGTGGAGGTGCAGGGGCGCTTCGGCAACGGCCAGGGGCGCGAGTTCGCCAGGCAGTACAAGCTGCAGTTCTGGCGGCCCGGACTCGCGCACTGGGTCACCTACGCGGACGGGCGCGGAGAGGAGGTGAGGTCGACGTGGTTTGGGGGGGTTGTTTTTATAGGGCCGTTTTGTTCTCCTGTTTCTGATTCTCTCTTATTTTTCTTTCTCAAAACAAAGAAGAAACAAATGAGAAACAGACACAACAAATAGAAATAGCAAACAAACAAAACAAATAGAAATAGCAAACAGACAAAAACAGAAATAACAAACAGACAAAAACAGAAATAACAAACAGACAAAAACAATAATAACAAACAGACAGACAGACAGAAATCATCTCACCTTCGACCCCGTCATTCCGAGCCAGTGCCTTGGGGGGAGGGGGGGGGGAGCACGGCCCGGGGACATCGAATGAGTGTTCGTTCTGTCGCCCTTTTTTTGTTCTCGAGTGAACGCTCGGACCCAGAGAGGAAGCGCCAGGTCTTGTTCTGCGTTCTTCTCCCGTGTGTTCTGCTTCGGGGGGGGGGGGGGGGGGGGCATGTTGTCTTCTATGTTAATGTTATTGTTGTTATTATTATTGTTGGTACTATAATTATCATCAGCAGCAGCAGCACCATCATGTATGTATGTATCTATGTATATATATACACATTTCTTGTCCTTTCTTTCTTTCTTTTTCTTTTCTTTCTTTTTTCTTTATTCTTCTACATCTCCTTCGACTTCGGCGAAGAAGAGTATGGATAGATGGGGAAGGGGGGGGGGCGTAAAGGAAAGGTTAGACTGCGGATTTTTTTTTTTTTTTTTTTTTTACTTTTTTTCTTCTGCTTTCAAATAATAATAATGATAGTCGCTCTTGACAGCCATGAATAACGAGTTTAGGCTCCTTTAATTCGGGGGCGAGGCCGTGATGGCATGAGTGAGGAGAGGGAGAAAGAAGGAGAGGGAGAAAGAGGGAGAGGAAGAGGAAGAGGGAGAGGAAGAGGGAGAAAGAGGGAGAGGGAGAAAGAGAGAGGGAGAAGAAGAGGGAGAGGGAGAGGAAGAGGGAGAGGGAGAAAGGGAGAGGGAGAGGGAGAGAGAGAGGAAGAGGGGAAGGGAGAGTTAGAAAGAGAGAGGGAGAGGAAGAGGAAGAGGGAGAGAAATAGTAAGAGAGAGACGGAGTGGAAGAGGGAGAAGGAAAAGAGGTGCTATAAAAGAGAGAGACGGGAGGGAAGTAAGGAGGGAGGGAGAGAGGGAGAGAAGACGAAGAGGTGTAGGGGGAGAGAAAGAAAGATAGAGGAGTGAGAGAGAGGAAAGGGGGAAAGAATTAGAAAAGGAGAGAAAGGTGGGGAAGGAAGAGAGAAAGAGAAGGGGAGGGAAGGAGGGCGAGAGAGGGGGGGAAGGAAGAGAGAAAGAAATAAAGAAGAGAGAGATAAGAAAGACGGTAGATAAAGAAAACAAGGAAAGAGGAGAGGAGATATTTACAGATAAATAGATAGAAGGAAAGAAGGCTGAAAAAATAACAAAGAGACAAGCATAATCAGAGAAAGAGAAAATTAGTCAAAAAGAAGAACAAGAAACAATAGTGAGAGAAAGAGAACAAGGAAGCGAGAGATAGATAGATAGATAGAGAGAGAGAGAGAGAGAGACGGAGACAGAGAGAGAGAGAGACGGAGACAGAGAGAGAGAGAGAGAGAGAGAGAGAGAGAGAGAGAGAAGGTGAAAGTCGATATAATAATAATAAAAAAATATATATATATCTCCTCCCCCCTTCCAAGTGACCCTTATAATTGAGCTTATCAACGTATTGATTCCTCAGAGTTTACAGTTACTCCCGCTCTGATTACAACTCCCTCTCCCCCCTCCTCCCCCTCCCCCTCTCCCTTTTCCTTATTAGGGCCTCTTCTCATTAAGAGGAAACTAACTCAAATGCCCAAGCGTCTTCGGGGACGTTCTTCTGTTATCAAAAATGTCTTCTTCTTATTCTATAATGGAGATAATTGAAAAGGAAGAAAAAAGAGAAAGAAGAAAAGAAAGAAAGGGAGAAAGAAAGAAAGAATATATATATAAATATGTGTGTGTGTGTGTGTGTGTGTGTGTGTCTGTGTGTGTGTGTGTGCGTGTGTGTGTCTGTGTGTGTGTGTGTGCGTGTGTGTGTGTGTGTGTGTGTGTGTGCGTGTGTGTGTAGGTTACTACTTCCCAGTTGATTGTTTTCATTGGAATCTGCAATACTTTATTCTTGTGCATTTCTTTTTTCTTTTTTTTATACGATTTCGTTGTTGTTTCATTCTTCCGTGTTCATTATCTTATTCTCAGATATTCATGATCTCATTTTCCTTTATAATGTTCTCAGCCTCTCTCATTTGTCTGTTCTTGCTGTCACTCCTTTCGTCCGTTCCTCTTTTTCTCATCTTTCTCATTCTTCTAAGTTCGTTTATTTTCTTCTTTTCGTTACGCTTTTCCCCACTGTTCTTTACTCCATCTCTCTCCAAACCCGTTCTCATCCTCTTCTCCCTCTCTCTCTTCTCCTCCTCCTTTTCTGTTCTCTCCACTTCGTCCTCAATTCAAATCGGTTCTCTCCCTTTTGCCGTTTCCACCCGTTCTCATCCCCTTCTCTCTCTCTCTCCCTCTCCCCCTAGCTCCTCGAAGGGAATTCCAACACCTACCTCGCCCAGAGTTCTCAGCTGAGCCCGCCCATCATAGCCTCGAGGGTGAGGTTCGTCCCCTTCAGCCACTACTCGCTCACCGTCTGCATGAGGGTTGAGGTCTACGGATGCCGGTACACAGGTCAGTCTTGGAGGATAACGGTCGTAACGGTTTGTCAGGGTGGGATGGAGGGGGATTTGAATTTGAATCCGAAAGTGTGGTTAGTTTTTTTTTTTTTTTTTTTTTTTTTTTATAAAGTATTGGTTTGATTTTTTTGTTTTGTTTAATGGGAATGTTTTTTTTTATCGCTTAAGGGGATATGTTGTCAAATATTTAATAAGTATAGACTTTAGTTTTGGATATGATATAATGTGAGTATATGCCGTAATCAAAGGCAAGATCGTATCGACTGTCGACTATGGAGGATAACTCCAGGACCCCATCCCCCCTCTCCCTCACACTCCCCCCTTCCCCCCTCAGACGGCCTGCTGTCGTACTCGATGCCCGACGGCGACCCGCGCGGCGGCGACGGCGCGCTGCGCGACCTGACCTACGACGGCGCGCGCAAGGACGGCTGGCTCTCGGGCGGCCTCGGCCAGCTCACCGACGGCGAGACCGGGCACACCAACTTCCGCGTCGACGCCCTCGGCAGGGGCAGAGGTAAGCGGTCTTCATTTCCTGCTCTGCTCGCGATCTTCTCTTCTTAACGATGTCCTTCAGAAGGAGTGAAGGCAGGGGAAAAAATGATTTTCCTTGGCTTTTTAAATAGTCTTTCTCCGTCTTTGGGAAAAGGGAGAAATGTGATGTAATATACTTAGCTGAAAAGAAAAAATAGAATATCACACAAAAAGGATTTATCAGCAGGCGAGACAAGGGCTCCGAAATCCTCTTGTATTTCACCTACATGTCTCCCATAGCGGTTAATTTATGGAAATCAATGTTATCTAATATCGAGGAAGCGATAAGAGTTAGATTTATTTCATTCATTCTCCATTTCTCTTTATTTTTGTTTTATTACCTACTCCTTTTCTTTATCATTTTTTCTCCATTATTTTTTTTTATTATGTATCCTTTTTTATTTAAATTATTACTAAATGGTGACCGAAAATTGTTCATTTTTGGGCATCGGAGAGAGAGACTTTTTACCGTTCGTTTCTAAAGACAAGTTTATCATTATTTTCGCAATTAAAGTGTTAAATGTAGCCCAGTCAGTGCATACTCCAAAATTTATGTATGATAGTAAAAGATAGAATACAATTATCATCCAAAGCTAAGCAAAGCAAAGAGAGGGTAGGCGGCAAAGGGGTATTAGGAAGGGAAGGAAGAAGAAAAGGGGAGGAAGAAGATAGAGGAAGGATAGAAGTGAATAGGTTATAGAGAGAAGAGGGGGGTAGATAGGAGGAGGAGGGGGGTAGAGAGAAGGGGGAGGGGGGTAGAGAGAAGGGGGAGGGGGGTAGAGAAGAGGGGGAAGGGGGGTAGGGAGGAGGGGGAAGACGGGTAGGGAGGAGGGGGGGAAGGGGGTAGAAAGGGACGGGTGAGGGGAAAATAGACGGAAAAATGGGGGGGGGGATGAGAATAAGGGGAAGGGTTGAGATAGAAGGTTAGAAGAGGGGAGGGGAGGGGAAGGGGAGAGAGGAGACTCCTGTCATGTCGCTATCGCAGAAAGTGTCAGGCGGAGTCACGATGCGCCTTTGTTCCTTTGCTCTCTATCTTCTGCTGTCTCTCTCGGTTTCTTTTTTTTGTTTTTGTTTAGTTTTTTTTTCTTCATTTTGTTCTCTGTCATTCAGTAGGTTGTCTTCTCCCTCTTGTTCTCTCCTCTTTTGTCGTCTCCTTGCTGTCTCCTTGAGTATTATTTTTGGTTCTCTTCCTCATCTTCTGTGTGTTTCTTTCTCTTTTTGTCCGTCCGTCTCTCTCTCTCTCTCTCTCTCTCTCTCTCTCTCTCTCTCTCTCTCTCTCTCTCTCTTCTCCTCTCTCACTTACTTATTTTTCCCTTCTTCATTTTCCCTCTCTTCCTCCTTTCTCTCCTCTTCCACCCTTCCCACTTTTCCATCTTTTTCCCATTCACTTTCTATCTCTCTTCCGCCCCTATCCCTCTCCCTCTTTCATCTCCCTTCTCCCTTCTCCCCTCTGTCTCTCCTTTGTCATGGCGAGATTAAAAAAAAAGTGGAAGAAGGCTGGAATATTTTTTTTCTCTCTCTCTCTTTTCTCTTTTTATTCTTTAGTTTTTATTTTTTTCCCTTTTTTCTTCTTTCGTTTTCTATCGTCTGAGCTTAAGTTACCATTTCCTGTTAATGCGTTGAAAAGAAATATTGAAAAATAATGTTGGTGTGTTTTGAATAAAGAAAAAGGAAATAGTTTTTGTTTTGTTTTGGTTTTCATGTTTTTTTTTTTGTTTTTTTTTTGCAATTTTGTACACGTGTTTTTTAGGATTTTTTTTTAAATGTGTTTTTTATATAGGAACTTGAATCTGTCAGATGTATATCGTATTAATTTCATGTTAAAGCAAACGTCCTCGTATGTCCAAAATTATACAAAAAATAAAGAATAAATAATAAAATAAATGAATATAATATACTGACAATAACCTTTTTTTTATCAGAAAAAAATATATTCAAAAAAGAAAAAAAAGGTAATAAAAAAAAACTTTATATGTAATTTCTAAAATCTTTCCTGATTTCCCTCGCGAACACTTTTATCATTCGGTTATAAATCTCGGCTTCCCTGTGATTTGAACGCTAATTATTTCCACGGGAAGCGGGGGAGGGGGGGGGGGAGGGGGGAGAGGGGCATTTCCGTTATCTACACCGGGGTTTGTTATTCTGTGTCATATTTTGAGGGGAAATTTCGTTGTTGTTTTTTTTGTTTTTGTTTTGTTTTATGGTGTTGTCCTCTTTTCCTATGCTTTTTCTTACTTTGTTTTCTTTTTTTTTGTCTTTTTTTTTGTTTGTGTTTCCTTATTCACTTTATTCTTTCTTCGTTATTTCGTTTTTCGTTATTTCTTCTATTCTTTCTTTCTTCCTTTTGTTTTATGTCTTTATTTTATTCTATTTTGTGTTTTCATGGTTGCAACTGGTGTCGTTTTCATCTTAAGTTTGTTTTTAATGTTCCTCTTTTATTTTTGGTCTCTCTCTTTCTCTACCTCTAACTCTCATTCTCTCTCTGTCTCTCTGTCTCTCTCTCTCTCTCTCTCTGTCTCTCTCTCTCTCTCTCTCTCTCTCTCTCTCTCTCTCTCTCTCTATATATATATATATATATATATATATATATATATATATGCAAATCTTATAAGAACAAATAATTAAAGTTAAAGACATATAATACAAGACCCTCAAAAAAGCAAAGTCCCTAACCGTTGCATAGCAATGGGCGACGACATTGCAGGTGCTGATCATCCCTCACCTGTGCAACAGCGCCAAATAGGGGAGAGAGAGGACGCTTTTTTAACTGGGTGTTGGGGGAGGGGAGGAGGGAGGGGGGAGGGAGGGGGGGAGGGAGGGGATGTAGAAGGCGGTGGTGGAGGGAGGGGGGGAGGAGAGAGGGGATGTAGAAGACGGTGGTGGAGGGAGGAAGGGAGGGAGGGATAGGAAGGAGTAGAGAGCGGTAGAGAGGAGGGAGGGAAGGAGGGAGGGAGGGAGGGAAGGAGTAGAGAGTTAGGGAGGAGGGAGGGAGGGGAGGATAGGAAGGAATAGAAAGAGTTAGAGAGGGAGGGAGGGAGGGAGGGAGGGAGAAGGGGATGTAAGGAAGAAGTAGCGATGTTGAAGTGGTTACATGAGATAGGAAGATGTAAAGGGGGAGGGAGGAAGGGTAAAAGGATGCAGAACGGAGTAGGAAGGAGGGAAGGAAGGGGTAGGAGGGAGGGAGGGAGGGAGGAGGAGGAAGAAGATATAAGAAGAAGTAAGGGTTTAGAGATAGAGAAAGAGTACGAAAAGGGAAATGGAAAAGGACAGAGGAATAAGGAATAAGGATAAGAGACATAAGCGAAGGAGGTAAGTAAAGAGACAGAAGAGAGAATGGGGTAAAAGGGGTAAGGGAGGAGGAGCTTAAAGGTAGAATGGGGGAGTGGGGGGGGGGGGGGCGAAGGAAGGTTAGGCAGACCTTGAACTTGCGTGTAAATTTGTTAAGGTTGTAAAGTTGTTGTTTTCTCTCTGTCGCTGGCAATTATGCGTAGTCTCGGGAATATACGAGATGTTAATTTGATGAGGTATGATGGGCCTGTGTTGGACAAGCCTAATATTTGGTGGGGGAGGGGGGAGGGGGGTCAGGTGGGGGGAGGGGGGTTAGGTGGGGGAAGGGGGGAGAAGGGGGGTGGAAAGATGAAAGAGGGAAGTGAAGATGGGAGGTGAGAGAAGGGATGTTAGGGGGGAGGGGGAGGTTGAGTAAGGGTAAGAAAATACAAGAAAAAAGGAGAGGATGAAGAAACAAAGGAAGAAGAAAAAAATAGAAAACAGGAAACATATACGTAAGGGAGAAAATCTGAAAAACGTGTAAAAACCGAATTTAAATAAAGAAAAGGATATGTAAGGATATTTCCAGAAAGGAATTTTCACGCAAATACTTTAATTTTCTTTTTTCTTTTTTTTCTCTCTCTTGCTTTCTCTATTTCTTCTTTTTTTGTGGGGGCAGTATGTGACAATTTTTGTGATATTAATTTCGTTTCTTATGACCAGTCTCGTCGGCGTCTCCGTAAAAGGAATGTCACACGCTGCTAAGGTTGACTCACAGAAATTCTTTGAATGTTCTCGAACGGTCCGTGCGTTTCGCTTTATTTTTTCTTCTTTTTAACTTTCCTTCCTTTTCTCTTTTTTCTCCTTATTCCTTTGCTATCTTATCAATTTTCCGTTTTTTTTTATTATTATTTTTTGTTCTTGTTTTTTTCACGTAGATTTTTAATAAGGAGCATGGAAGACTTTTTTAAACCTTCGTTCGAATCATTGACGAAGTGAGGCTTCGAAACAGCGAGGAACAACGAACATAACGATAATAATGACTACGATAATAATTTCAATAATAGCAAACATGATAATGGTATTGATAATAGTCACCATGACCCTAATGACGATAAAAAATAACCATGATAATAATAAACAATATAGACGAACCTAAATTTAGACGAACCTAAATTTAAAACCATACACCGAAAAAAATAAATAAAAATACAAATATGAATAGAAGAAACTCCCTAAAACAATAGACCAGCAAACACGAGTATAAATTTCGACTTATGGTGTTTTAATAGGAACTGAAAAGGAGGACTTGGTGTGTTTTACGAGTCTTCCGAAAAAGGTTCGAAGCCTCGGTAAATAGTGGCTTATGGAAACCCCTTCTGCTGCTTCATTTTGGATTCTTGGTTTTGTTGTGCTTTTTTTTCTTCTTCCTTTCTTTCTTCGTCTTCTTCTTCTTCTTCTTTTTCTTTTCATCTCCCTTCTGTGTATAGTATTGGTATAATTCTTTTTTTCTCATCTTTTTCTTCATCCTTTTCTTTCTCCTCGTGATCATCTTTATCTGCCTCTTCGTCTTCCTTCTCCTCCTCTTTCCTTCTCTTCCCTCCTCCTCCTCCTCCTCCTCCTCCTCTTCCTCCTCCTCCTCCTCCTCCTCCTCCTCCTCCTCCTCCTCCTCCTCCTCCTCCTCCACCTATTCCTCCTCCCTCTCCTCCTCCTCCT